TATTTTCTCGTATCTATATAGAAGTTTTTAAGCGAAGAAAAGAACATGCAACTGGAAAAGAAATTTTTTTAATTTCTTAAACTACGAATACGAACCCCTACAATAATTTTTATTTCTCCCGGATGTATGTGCTTTTTTGGGGGAGGGGGGTTAGCACGTGCTACAAAATTTATTTATTTTTTTGACTTACAAATTCTTGTATTATAGAAGTTGGAAGCATTAAAATTTGTGCGACAGAGATGAGTATCCTAATGCACTATATTAGAAAATTTTTTACAATATTGATCTCGCTATTGAATTCATTTTTCAAAGGTAAAAACAAATAATCTGCTCAATTCTATAGGTCGAAGTGTGTAAGAGAAGAAAACATAAAATTGACCGTGATACATTTTTTAAACAAGAAACCAGAAACCTGTATAATGATTTTTACTTTTTCAAATGTATGTGCTCTCTGAGGGTCCACGTGGTACGAAAATGTATTTATTTACTTTTGACTTGCAAATTTTTTTACTATAGAATTTGAAAAGGTTGAAGGTTTATGCGGCAGAGAGATTATATCCTTATACTCTATTTCAGAAAGGATAAAAGGGTCCCCAAATTTTAGCTGGAAATTTTTTTGACAAAAAATGGTAAGCAGACTAGACTAGTGAGCGACAGACATGTGCTCGTTTAATGAGAAAACTTCCACACAAATCGTTTCGTCAGACTAGATGGAGGTTGAAAGGACGAAACGAGCATTTTTTGCTCATTTCATTGGAGGCTCGAAACGAATTGGCGGAAAAACATTTGCCTCTCCGTCGTGAAGTGGAGAAGCTAGCACAAGTTCAAAACGGCGAAAATCGGGCAAATAAATATATTTATTTGTCTTTATGACGGAGGCTATAGTTGTCTTTATGAATATCGAATATCAGGATGAAACGGCAAAAAATGTGAAAGTTGTCAAATTTGAAATAGAATAATTTTCCTGCGAAAAAGATTTTGCGAAATAGGCTGAGACTGACGTCATTCAAACGTTGCTACATCCATTCTGCCCTATTTGTAAAATTAGAAACGTTAAACAAAAGGTCAGCTTAATATTCATGAATTCAAGAGCCTATTCGCAAGTTTATTGGGTTCATAATATGGGGTAGAAAATAAACAAAAAAATTTAAGATGGTTTACAATTTTGAGAGTGGATCAAAGCTTGTTTGCGGAAGACGAGTATGGTCCTTGTGTTGGATAAGACTTGAGATAGTGCAAAGTTTTGATGAATAATGGCAGCACATTTTTTGTGATGATTTGTAGAAAACTGTGGAGGCTTTGTAGCTCAAAATGTAGCATGTAATTCATAATTTATATTGAT